ATGCTGAATTTGGCGAAGAGTGAGACAGTTGCTAAGATGTTAGCAAAAGGAAGCGTGATACTGAAAAGCGTAATGGTATGACTGCAGCATTCTGTAACACGTTCATTCCCTCAGCAGTAAAGTAAGATTTCAGTCCCATTTTCAAAGTCAATGACAATCTTCCCTTTTTTTCATTCTCAAGTGGACAGCATGCTACACAGTCCTGTTGCACTGTCACTAATGTATCACACCTCCCATCTCTGCTTGCTGATGAGCCTTTAATACCATTTAAAGGCTGATGAACATTTAAAACCACAAGAGAAGCTGAGAAAATTCCTCTCTCAAACTTTTTTCTCCTTTTTCCTAATCAAAATCAGTTTTTCAAGCATCTAATACCAAATACCATCTCTAACCTTTAAGTGTTATCTACACTAATATGTTACTAGATCTGGGACCACACATTTGTCTCTATCCAAATGGAAGTTCTTCAAATAAGCCCAACTAACCAAGCAATTTAACAATTAGTGATCTATTCCTACTATTACAGTACTGTTATGTAACTAAACATAGAATTTTACACGTTTATTTTGAGCCATATAGTATTTCTAAGAGCTAGCAAAAACAATGACTAAAAAGCCCCCATTATTCAGCCTCTTCAGGGTATGAAATTTCCCTGTTGAGTAACGTTGGTTTTGTTCATTAACCAATTTCAACACAGCTAATATCAATTACAACAAATATCTTTAGGAAAGATCAAGCTGATCAAAAAGTTGGTATGAGCATCACTGGGATAATTTCAAGTGCATCACTCTATAATTGGCAAGGCATTTCTTTTTTCTCAGCCATTTTAGACTCAGGTTTACTTCAGCATTTCTTTAAAAACAGAACAAGACACCAAAAAAAAAACCCAGCCACAACTGAGTGTAAAAGCAACTGACAGGTTCTGTCAGTTTCTGAAGAGTTTCTTAGCTACCATTTAATAACCAAATTGTAAACACAGTAGAATACTGCAATACGTGTAATATGATTACATCATACTATATAAAAAAGAAACTACTGAATGTTTCTATATAAAAGTAATCCTGACGTTTATCTACATTTGACAAAACTTTTTCTGTTTTTAATCTTCTCCTATTTGTACTTGAAGCTGACAGCTACCAGAACAGAGTCAAAAAAAAACAGATCAAAGGGAACAGGTTTACAGAACCAAGAATTGGCCACCAAGTAGATCTGAACGTGCTATCAGAAAAATTGAATTACCACATTTGATGCAGGTTTTTGTCTTTATGATCTTCATTTGGGTATTACATATGCTGCATACACATTTGGATGCATGACAGACAATGACATTTGGCTACAACAGGTTAAAATCCTTCATGCGGTCAAACTCTAAAAATTACAGAACACATTTCTGATTAAAGAAACAGACACGTAAGCTTTCATTACATTAACATTCTCAAGCTGCATCTCCCAGTTACTGACATATTACCGGTATAAGCTATAAGAAGTTATTCAGTTATTTGGGTCAATTAAATGCCTCTCAATTCCAAAATAAGAATAAGTTATTATTTCATACATATGCTTATTTCAAGTTGCAAGTTCATATTTGTTCACCTCTTGGTTTATTCTTGCCTATTTCCTCTGATCTTACCTCCTTAAATAATTCCTCAATATTTCAGTCTTAGTTCACAGGATCACAGAATTGTAGGGGTTGGAAGGGACCTCCAGAGATCATCGAGTCCAACCCCCCTGCCAAAGCAGGTTCCCTACACCAAGTAGCACAGGTAGGCATCCAGGCAGGTCTTGAACATCTCCAGAGAAGGAGACTCCACCACCTCCCTGGGCAGCCTGTTCCAGTGCTCCGTCACCTCACTGTAAAGAAGTTCTTGCGCATGTTTGTGCGGAACTTCCTATGCTGCAGTTTCCAGCCGTTTCCCCTTGTCCTGTCTCCACTCACCACTGAAAACAGTCTGGCCTCGCCATTCTGCCCCCCACACCTCAGATATTTATAGACCTGGATCAGGTCCCTTCTCAGTCTCCTTTTCTCAAGGCTGAACAGACCCAGTTCACTCAGCCTTTCTTCATAGGAGAGATGCTCCAGGCCCTTCACCATCTTCGTGGCCCTTCGCTGGACTCTTTCCAAGAGATCCCTGTCTTTTTTGTACTGGGGAGCCCAGAACTGGACGCAGTACTCCAGATGAGGCCTTACCAGGGCAGAGTAGAGGGGGAGGATCACCTCCTTTGACCTGCTGGCCACGCTCTTTTTAATGCACCCCAGTAAGCCATTGGCCTTTTTGGCCACAAGGGCACACTGCTGGCTCATGACCAACCTGTCATCCAGGTAGTTTGGTGTAAAAGATTAACTTCAGACATTATAAATGATATAGATTATCAATGATACTTGAAATTTGATTTTTCAGGCACTATAAAAATACTAATTTGTAGCCAGATAATATCCATCAGAATAACTTCTCATATTCCCATTCAATGTTTAAGATCTGGAATGTTTAAATTTAAATTCAGGTCAATTCATGACGTAGAGTTATTTAGACCACTAGAGGAAAAGGTTTCATCCAGAAAATAAAAATCCAAAACTCACTGTAATACACGGAAAGATTATATGCTGCTTCTGCAAAAAAGAAAGATACTAGACTGAAACTTTAGAAACACACAGGGATGGTTCAGCTTTGATCTTGGTAAGAAGAACTAAATAAGCAACATACTCCTTTGGAAAGATATTTTTCTTTTCCATTGGGGATCACATGTTGATACATTTTGACCCGTAGAAATAAAAAATATCTATTCAAGATTTCAGGTGCCCATTCAATGAATTGAAAACTCAACACATACAAGCCTTTTTCAGGGAGTATTTATCTTCAAAAGCCTCTCATAGACAAAAAACAACTTCCAGCATTTCCAATCAAGGATCAAAATGTCTTTCAGAATACGAAAAATTCACCATTCAGCAAAAAGGAGTTTCATGCAGTTCTAAACCTCAGTGTTCCTTCAGTTAGGAAAGAAGGACTGATTCTCTAACAGAGGAACAATTGCCACCATCACCAACAAACCAAGGCAGCGTGAGCACAGCACAAACTGTACTACAGAAACTAAATATCAACAAGTAAAATATCAACAGTAACACATACATCCAGGCTCAAACTAAAAACAAATATAGATCACCCTTTTAATTTTACAGTGCTTTGTAACATCAACGACACAAGCAAACCAAATGGGTACACAGAAAAATATGTAAAAAGACACAGAGCAATTGCTGTATTATGAATTTGTAGGGCAGCACGTTCAAGGGATCAGCAAATTCTGAAAATAAATGGTTTGCACGATCTTTATAAGTTGATACATATTTACACGTTTAACATATAGGGAGGAAGAGAGACTATTACAGATGTTGCCTGCTAAGAGATTTTCAAAACTTATTTTCTATCATTGTTTCTAGTCAGTACTGGAAGGTCACTCCCTACTCGCAGCAAAGACCAGGAAAAATTTGGCAAGATTACCCAGTTTTAGTCCAACACTGTCAGAAAAGCTGTACTCTGTTCCATTCAAAAATGACATAGGCTATTTCTGGCCTAATAACTTTGACACAGCCCTTCCACAAGTTGGACAGATCGACTGACTTTCTGCTGCCTAAATGGTCAGGTTATGCTCTCACACTCATTGTTACCACCTGCATGTTCTTGTTTCTTCCTTTGCATTGTTTTAACACTTTCTGAACTCCTATCTGAGTTAATCCAACCCACTGACACACCTTTTTGCTACATTTCTGACATAAATCAATTCACAAATGGTTTCAACATAGTCAGAAATAGAACAAAGTGAAGTGAGAGCAGTGTTCAGGAAATACAGCCAACGTCTTCCAACTGCAGGCTAACAACAGCTAACCCAATTTGAGGAAACCTATCTCCATATTCTTGTTCTATTTTGGCCAAGAGATCCTCAAAAACTCTTTTTTTGTTGTTTTTTAGGTTGTTTTTGTTTTTTAAATCATCCATCAAATCCTTAAGTAACCTTCAAGAGTTAATTCCATATAAATAGATCACAATAATTCAGACTACTTTAGCTGTCTTCAGATAACTTCATAATCATTACTGAAATTGTGTGAACAGTAAAAGCATCTCATCTGCAACGAACTTGCTCTGCGATGGTTGTGAAACTCAGTCTTGAAAGTTCAGGAAGCTGTTAAAATCTTCTTATGCTTACCATAACCACTAATGATCATAAGAGTCTTTCCTATAGTTGCATCAAACAAGAATAATGTCATAACAGGCTTGGGTTCTAGATTCGCACCTGAATTCACATTTCAGTGAAGTTCATTTCACTCTATAATCAGTATTTAAAAAGAAGATTTTAAGATATATTTATTATTATTCCTTTATTTAAATGCATGTTACAGCTCATGAATAGACCTTCAAAAGCATACGAGCATGTAACATTACATTTTTAATATGTCGCTATTTGAGGAAACATAGCCCTGGATTTAGAATATCCCAAAGCACACAATTATTTCCAGCTGCAATTATGTAGTTCTCACAGTTCTAACAGAGAAACCTGGGAGAATCACATGCGTTGTATAACTTCTACAGAAGTACTGCTTATCTTTGACAAATGCAGTATCTGCAATTCAGAGAAGATGAAAGGACCTAAGAATAGAGATGAAGGACTTTTACACAGGAGAGAGGATACACAATGTATCCATAAAACAATCACTTTCTAGAGGAGATAGGGAAAGAAAAGGAAGGTGAAACAGGTGTTCGACTGACCCAGTTTTATCAACAATCTGACATTAAAGAAAAAGGCATTCTTCAAACTGAATCCACAAAACATCTAGCAAAGGACCTGACCTCTGTGCTGCAAAGTTTGCCTTCTCCAGATGACACTGATTTGCCATTAGAAGGGCAGTTTTCAGTTGTTACTTAAGAAGCACAGTTCCTCATCTAGCTTCATCACATTAGCCATTGTCTTGGTGGCAGCAATATCACAGAAATAAAGAAGTATCTACTTACCAACAATAATTCCTGTTCAAATTAATACTTTCCAGGACTCTTCTTCCTCACTTTCATTTTGAAGCCTAGTTAATTCTCTGAAAACAGAAAAGAAGATTGTTAATTTTTACCCTTTTTCTTTTTAAATCTTTATACGTGTTTTCATCCTTTATCCACTACATACAGTCAAGAGATGCGTGTAAACATCCATATTTTTAAAAAGTTGCTCTGTTTTATGATTAGACAACTGACATGTCTCCTAACTCCCATGAAAACAGAAATCAATAGACATAAATAATCTTTCTTGATACTGCAATTTGAAAAAAATAGCAATGCCTGCTTCACTCCCATCCTCCACCCTCCCCCCCCCCCCCCCCCCAAAAAAAAACAAAACAAAACAAAACAAAAAGTATAGGCTTTCGAGGCAGCTGGGAAACAAACTCAGGATGTGAGGGGAAAAGAAAGCAGCAGAGTAATTCTTTGGATATATATAGCCAGGCCTGGGGGGGGGGAGGGAAAGAACTGCAAAAAATTATAGCCCAAGGATTCTAAAACAGTCTCAGATGCCAAAAATAAAATAAACTACTCAAACTAAAATATTTGCTACAAAGGCAAAAATAGGATCTACCTTTAAACAACATATAAGAAAATTAAACTGGTCTGTTTATATTTTTACATAACATGCATAGCAGAGTGTACATACTAAGGAAGTTATTGTCTTCAATGAAATCTTACTTTTGAGTTATCAAGGTGTATGGAACTGCTGAATCACAGCCTGAACCTCTGATTGATCACCTGAGGTGAGCAATGAGTCAGCCCTGGGAGCACAGGTGAAGGCCACAATTCACCTGCGCTGCTGGAAGGAGAGGAGCCTGGCTGCACCTCTCCTAGATCTACTGAAGAGCTGGTTACCAGTGGGAAAGGATCTCTTCTGGAGATCTCTCCTCTGAGTTTTGCAGTGAGCCCAGAATATGGGTAAGCATTCCATCTATTTTCTTTTTATTATTATAATCTGCTTTGCCAAACTCTCTTTTTTATTTCATAACTATAACAGCTTTATATCCATTGACTATACACAAGGCATGGAGTTACTGCATCACTTCATAACTGTGGTCTCATTACCTCAGAACAGCTGCAGATACTGAACTAAGTGTTGCTTGTGACTTGAAGAGAAAAAGCAATCAAAAACTGCAAATATCAGTCTTCAAGATAGTATAAATTGGATACTGAAAAAGTTAATTTGTGAGCCTGACTTCAAGGAAAGGGACAAAATTGGGGAAGCTAGCAAAAAGTAAGAAAATAAAAAATAAAAAAAAAATCATAAACTAATTAAAGTAACAACAGTGCCAGGAACAGGACTGAAGAGAAAATGATAAGTGCATCCGCTAACTGTCTTTTACTGCAATGAGAATTCTGCCAAACTAGTCTTATTTTTGCCTAATAGTTATTAAGTGACCTTATATTTTGAAAAGAAGTTGAGCAACTATACAGGCAACCCTAAATTAATTTCACAAGTGGTAACATGGATAAATATTTTTTTGAGAAGGCCTAATTCTTCAGGGTTGGTTTTTTTCATTCATGTAATAAATTATTTAAAACAAGCTTCATCTATAAGGTCAGAGCCCGTGAACTTCCAAAAATGGTATATCTGGGGTGAGATGGCTTATTTTCGTTTCCATTTGAGATGGATGCTTTCAGTATACTTCAGTTAGAGCAGCACTCAGTAAGGCCACACAGCTTCTCCTCTAATAAGGATCTGAGAAATCCCAACAAAAACACGACACTGTTACCATACATAACAGCAAGAACAAAAGGGTGTTTTGTGTGTGTGTTTTGTTTGTTTGTTTTTAGCTTTCCAGCAAAACCAAGTTATTCCTATTGCATCTCTCATTACAGAATCATAGAATTACTAGAGCTGGAAAGGACCCTTAAAGGTCACCTACTTTACTTGACTGCAGTGAAGGAGTCATCCAATCAGCTACACTACCTGTTTAATGAAAATGGAGAGCTGAAACTATCACCCAAAGGTCAGCCAGCAAGCCAAGCAAAACTGAGTATGGAGCCCATCTGTACCAAGAGGAAGCCTTATAATGAAGCTAATAGAGCACAGCCCACTGTGATGATTAATTCTAATTTCATGAGGCATCGTGTTTTATCTTCTTAGAAGTTCATATTTACAATTCCAACAACAGGTAAGCAGTATACTGTGTGAGACGTGCGTACGGAAAAATAGATTGAGGCAGATGGGCTCATAGTAAACATGAACTGGCAGTGTTAACATCTCATGTAATGAAAAGAATTCTTAGTAAATTCACAAGTTGATTTATCTGCAAGCAACTTAATCAAAGGCAGTACCAAAAGGCCAAAGTCATATGAGGCTGGATCCAAAGTCCAAATAGGTTTGTGAATACTGCTAATGTAATTTGAATGGAATTTTAAAAATACACAAAATATGAATGCAAAATAGCAGGAGTAGTGAATTCAAGGATGCCAGCCACACCACAGGTCCCTGCAACTACAGTGTGTTAGATGAAAATATTCATGGCACTCCAGGAACGTAGAGGGGAGAAAAAATTCCCTTCCCTCCTCATCCCCATATGATGGGGTCAAACATTTAAATTTGATTACAGATATCAGACCCATACTCCAGGCCAGGACTACTCCCCCACTACTACAGGAAGAATCACCTCACTCAAAATCCCATCTTTGGTCGATGACAAATTGCCTCTGCTTTGGAAGAGAATGAATAAAACAGCACAACATAAATTATGCACCACAAGGGCAATAAATAAATGAGTAACTATTCCCTCCTGTTCCATGCACAGGGAGGCTTACCAACGGAAGCCTTGAAGAGCAGATCAGGTAAAAATTGGACTCATTACAACCAACAACAATCAATTCTTTTCTCAGCTTCCCAAGATTTCTGATATTCTAGAACCAATAAATCTCAAATGCTCATCTATAACTTTTGCCTCTGGGTTCAATCTTGTCATCTAATGTAGCCTCTTTACATAGTTGTAGAAAAGATCATATGAAACCACTGCTTTTCATTCTCACCATTACTAAGTTTTCAAGACTAAATTTCATCATCTGATTTTTCCAGAGTTTCGGAACTGAATTTCTCTCTCAGACATATTTATTTTGTGCTCTCTCTCTCTCTCCCATGCACTCTCCAACACTCAACAAAGACCATTCTTATTTTTTCCTAGCTTCTCTTGCCAAGTTTTCTTTCAAGACATTGAGTTCAACTTGAGCATAATCCCAAAAATTCTTTTCTTTCCTGGATTTTTGAGAGACTCGGTATTTTCTGAGTCTGACTGATCAGTATTACAAACCATGTCCTGAATGCAAATTATTTATTGGCTGGTCCTAACAACTTTTTTTAAAAGCTATAAACCACCTGGTGTGTCTTAGAACCATGTGAGAAGAAAACAGATAGGGTTGTGTTATGGCCCAGATCCCTCTACCTCTGATTAGCAGTCTAGTTATGCCAGGAGTTCTCGTCAGCATGGAGTATGTAAATCCACTCTATTTTTAAGTTTCTCTTATGAAACTTAAACCACTATTTATTGCTCCAAACACATAATCCATCCTCTGCTACTGAGCACTATCATCATTTCTTCCTATTCAGAAGCAAACAGACCAGATTTTTAGCAAAGTCAGTAACTTGCTCATTTCAATGCTGGCTCTACTATTTCAAGTATCTGGCAGGGAAGTGACTAAAATTGCAGTGACAGAAAAAATATTACAGGAAAAGAAACAATTTATTCCAACAAAGTCATTTTTAAAAAATAAACAAGAGTTAAAATGTTACAATGAACATTTTTTCATACTTTGTAAATAACAAAAAAAAATTATTCCTTCTGTAAATCAGGTGAAACTCCAAAGCGTTTTCAAGTTTAAAGACAAAAGAGAAAGTTAACCTTACGGGGAAGACAAGCAGTTATTTGGCTTCAATAATGCATTTGATTTCTTACACCCTGCAGTACATCTGCCTGGAGTCAGTGTTAAGCTGCTGATACAAAGCGAGTTTCCTTAAACAAATGTATTAAAAAAGTATAACCCAGGGGAACAGAGTTAAAAATAATCTTTATATGCATAAAATAATTTTTACATGCACCAGTCAAAGATTCTTTACTATTAGCAGCTTAGGAAAAGCTATACCACACTGAATTCATAATATTCAAGGATGAAAGTCCTAACATCTAACTTCTCCAGCACGGCCAATAAAGGCTCTGAGGATTCAGCCATTAGCAGCGACACACAGAGGATTCTTCCTGTGCTCCCCCTCGAATAAGATTTACTTTACTTGCATTCATTTTTCTATTATCAGGTATCACTTCACCACTTTGACTTTGGTCTTGGTTTATACCCTGTTATAAAGTCACTTTATGATATCAAAACTTTGACATATACCGGTTTCAGCCTACAGGACTGATAGAGAATGGTATATAATTAATGGATTTCATTAGATACAATTAATGGACTTCTTTCACAAACATATCTAAAGGCTGATCTAATAACTATGTTATTGAACAACATCCCACATACAAAAACACTTTCAATCTATTAGTCTGTGAAGAGGCAGGTCACCCTACATGTACAAAACCAACAGGACATTGAACTGTTTTCCTAAGCTCTCCCTCCACTCCCTTCTCAAGAGGCACTGGCTCAGATATTTGACTCATTTTTTCCTTTTATTTCAAAAACAAATGGCTCTCGCTGACATCACAATATTCCCATAAGGCAGACTTGGGAGTGCCCCCATCACTGTACTTCTCATTACACAAAGTTTCGTGTGTGCTATAATGAAATTTCTACCACATCATACACTTGCATGTGTGATGCAGATCTGGGGAAATTTGGGGAAAACATGGGAAGCGCTGGATTTCTCTTAGCTGCCTGCAAACCTGAAAAGCGTATGCTGTGCTTCAGTTCCCCAGAGTTCCACTTCTTTTCAGCCATGTGAATTGCCATCTGTGCTTCCCAGACTGGCAAGTTAAAAATCTGCTGTCATTTGTATCACCAATGAGCAAATTAAAGGCAGAGATTTCCCTCTTTAATAAAATAAGAATGATAAATGGCAATCTAAATATTG